GGCCCAAACTCATTACATGAACGCGGACGTGACTCTTGCTTGCGAGCGGTGTTGTGTTACAAACGGTTATTTACAAAGGCTTGTATGGGATCGATCGGTTTTTCTTAAAAGAGATAAAAAATGTTATGTTTTTAAATAAAATCGACGTACCTTATTGCCTTGTTGTATTCTTTGTTGTTTACCCGCGTCTCAGGCCGTTTTGAAGCGTTTTCGGCGAGTTAGCGCTATTTTGGTGTTCCACTGCTAAAAGAAAGACAAGGCAGAACAGTGATTCCCGGAGTGTCCTTCGCTCGAGGCGAATAATTCCACGCGAAAATTACCCCCGCCCTCAGTTCCTTCAGAAATTCAAAGCAGAGATGTTGCAGTTCCATGTCCATTCACTCGATTCGATTCGGGGCGAACGGGTTTGTTTGTTTGTCGAGTGCAAGCCGCTGTCTACCCTCGCCGGGCTTATTTTAGTTACCCGACATACTATGCGATCGGTGAACGGGTCCACGGCAGTTTGGACGAGCCTATTTTGAAATCGTGAAGCCGATCGAGCAAGAGATGAAAGCATCGCTAGTGAACGATCTGTCGGAGGAATTGCGAATCGAGTGAATGGACATGGAACTGCAACATCTCTGCTTTGAATTTCTGAAGGAATTGAGTTCGGGGGTAATTTTCGCGTGGAATTATTCGCCTCGAGCGAAGGACACTCCGGAAATCACTGTTCTGCCTTGTCTTTCTTTTAGCAGTGGAACACCAAAATAGCGCTAACTCGCCGAAAACGCTTCAAAACGGCCTGAGACGCGGGTAAACAACAAAGAATACAACAAGACAATAAGGTACGTCGATTTTATTTAAAAACATAACATTTTTTATCTCTTTTAAGAAAAACCGATCGATCCCATACAAGCCTTTGTAAATAACCGTTTGTAACACAACACCGCTCGCAAGCAAGAGTCACGTCCGCGTTCATGTAATGAGTTTGGGCCACCTGTGTCATTGATAGAAACTTTGAGACATCAATAATATGCACGTTTGGTGAAGTTTTTTCAAAGAATTCTATAGCGCCCATCCTCAAATTTATTTCATATACACGCACAAACGATCTTGAAATAATCAATAATTAGCGACCAGTTGCATCTATTCGCCCGAGCAAATATTTTTGACCAAGTTATCCGGCGACGCACGCAGGGTAAACGAAAATTGTCGGCTATTTAGAGGACCATTGAATGAAGAAACTGGTCCGTTGGAGGGAACTAAACTTTTTCTTAGGGCTTGGAGAGGTAATTCTAATATATAGATTTAGCTAACGCAAAAACGAAGCTCTCATAAATAAAGTAGCCTGTGTACAGACGTCCCCCCTCCCTCAGAAAAAATCGGGAGAAGAGACGTCGCTAAAATAAAGTTATAATTTACTCAAACGAAAAAAAACAATAAAGAAATAAAATAAAAAAATAAATTTGAAACCACTGTGAAGAAATTTTTCAATTCTATACTTGATACAGTGGAAGGACTGGGTGATCTACGGGAAAAATAATCTGCACGCAAACCTTGAGCCATTCTTACATGAACTATTAAAATGTCAAGTGTGTGAAATGTTATTGCGTTAAATAATAATTTATCAAAAATCATATAATGCTAAACGGCGACGACAACGAGAACAGTAAAAAATAAATTGGATTTAGTAGCAAAACATTAACTTTGCACGTGCAGCATAATTACTTTCTTGTACATTTCTTTGCCGTTGTTACACGCTTCATGGAGGAAATGTCGTATGTGTTTACAAATAAGTTTCCTCTTAATTTTTTTTTTCTTCACTGCTGCTCATTTTCACCTTACTGGTCACTAGCATTTCTCATTTTATCACCGCCACTACATAATTTTCATGTTGTTCTTTCAATGAAATTCGTGTTCTTTGCTTTTTATCTCTTATCACGCTCTAGCTCTTTCTCTGGTATTCACGTCAGTGTAGACATAATTAAGATTTAGTCGGAAGCGGAAAAAAAAGGACTCGGCTTAAGTTTGTTGTTGTTTTCTCTCTAACAGTCCGGGTGGCCATGTGATTTACCGCCAAAACGCGCGGATGCTTGAATGCAAACTTCATCCCGGCTTACATGTCGGGGACGGACAGACGTGTTTTTACGTGTTTACCAAATTTCTCGCATCTATGGGTTACCATTTTTTCTTACTCATGGTCATGCATGGTGCTCCGCTATAAAAACCATGAATCATCATAATGTGAGAGACGAAGTAGACGACTGGCCGGAGTATCTTATCGCGGGACAGCAGCAGCGGCACCGATTTTTAACATAGTCCAGAAAACTACCGAACAATGAGGAGAAGTTTCAATAAATGCTTTGAATTTTCCCGTCATGACTAAAATTAAACTCACAAATTTTTATTTTACAATAGAATAACTTGCCAAGTAAGGTGGTTTCTTGGTGTTGCGGATTGGTGCAATCACTAAAAATGACGTAATACTATACAAACGAATGATTACACCAGAATACAGAAGCGAACCAACAATGGTTTCCACGAAACCAAGAAACACCCAATAATAAGGATGCCGATAATTAATTTTCGTTACAAGGTCTCAATCGCGCAAAATGTTGTCATTTTCAAGTTATTTTATGGCTGGACATGAAAGTTTCACACATACATAGTACCTCTTTCTTAAAACGCAAAGCTTTTTTGTCGCGTGTTCTTGGTCAGTTAAGTTGTCGATTTTTCTAACA